GTAATAGGTATGCAGAACCCGAGCGGCAAACGAAGGAGTATGGTAATGAGACTTAAAAGCCGGAATGTTGTACGTCCTGAGTTACGGACGGGTGCAGCAAGTAAGAGTCCTTTACACGTCACGCAGGGGCGCTAAGAAGTTAAATCGATTCCGAATTATGTCATGAAAACACGTCGCAACCGGCGCTCACGCGTGTCGGACGCAGATTAATAATAGCTGCAGCGCCGGCGATTTTTCAGCGGGCAACACATTTCCCCTTTTGTCTCCTATAAACTTTACCGTGAACTTACTGGCGGCTTCTTTGTGATCTATGGGATAGAAGGCAGGAGAAATGGAGAAACGAGAAAGAGATTTCTGAAACTTCGCAGATTCGGAGATAGGGTGGCGCTTATATAATAATTTACGGGGGTGCAGTCGTGTATCACGTCGGTTTCCCCCTTCACCATCATCGCTGAGGGCGGAGAAGAAAAAGAATCAACGGATTAAGCCTACTTCGACTGTTCGATAAATTATGAAAAGGTGTTCACGTGTTTTTTTTTTCGCGTTCTTATAACCGTTTCCACAAATGATGTTTAACTTTCATCTTGGTTCAATTAACTTTACATCTTTTTCTAATTCTAGAAATTAGTTGAACCAAAATTGAATTTAATTTATGTACATTGAAAACGAGTGCTAGAAAATTTCGAAAATATTTCACACGTAAAGCGAATTACCACATCGTTTCAATAATAATTAATATCAGTGTAATATAAATTTCACAATATATCAAGAGGGTAACCACTAGCTAAAATATTGTCCCACAGATTACATGATTTCATCTGATTAGAAATAATTTTTTTCACTACTATGAAGTAAATTGGTAAAATATACGATTTTATTTAATGTTATACAATGATTTCTCGTGGTTACATATGTAATTATCGGATTATACATAGAGATTTTATATAAATTTTATAATAATTTCGAGGATTCTGTCCCACGATTACATTAAGTGGTTACCCCCTCGATATATATTTTATCGCATACAAGTATTAAATTTAAAAAACATTTTTACATTTTTTCATATGCTGCATAGTAATTATAACATGTTATTACATGATTAATTTATTTCTATATATTAGAAATCATTCGTTTAAACTATGCATTCTAAGATTAATTAACTATTTGAAAAAACACAGAGATCTCATACTGAGATGAATTTAAGAAATGTGCTTAGATTTAGTTTCCAAGGAAATGAGAATAGTGGTGACAAGCATGAAATCATTTCAATCCCCTTCACGAACCTAGATAGACTTGGTTCCTCGAAAAGTTACTACGTTATTGTATTGGGGATTGGGTGGCCCAATTGTGGCGGTCTATAGAGGCTTAATAGGACCGTTTTAGTGCCTTTGGTCCCTTTCAACTCTGAAACGGACTCCCTATAGCACCGATTAGGCTAACGCGATTATAAGCACTAACACACGGCTTGCCGACTGGTTTCAACCACCGTGCATCGTTTAATATCGATAGGTTATAAGGTGAGAGATATTTATAACCTGCGAGGCTTGTTAACCCATAATGACTCTCGAAATAGGAGCATCTAGTTTGGAAGTGTACTCCAATAGCATCAAATCGTAAACATTATCGTTATTCTTAGAAATATTAACTACGTCAATACGTTTATATTAGGTGTTGAACTTAATTCCTGCCGCTCGCTTAATTTAAAACAAAGTTCCACACCTCTAAAAAATCTAAAAAAAAATTTTTTTAATGTATAATATGCTAAAAAGTGTGTCAAACTTTTTAGCATATTACATTACAAAAATTTTTTTTTAGATTTTTTAAAGGTGTGGAACATTGTTTTAAATTAAGCGAGCGGCAGGAATTAAGTTCAACACCTAATATAAGTTGAGTAATCCAGTGAAGAACTTACTTATGTAATTAACGCACATGCGATGTAACAAATTTACATGACGCTATGTAGTTTATACATCATCTGTACGAATCTTGCACAAGGTCAGTGCAAGGAATAAGATAAATCTCTCGTGTACGTATCGGTAGCGAAACAGCGCGCAATCGACTATCATTCGCTCCCACGGCCGCGCATTTATAATACTTGAAATATTCGTGGCGCGTCTTCCTCGTTTCAAGAGCGTGACAGCACAATCACGGAGAGATGCATCTATCACAGGGGGAGTGGGCACGGCCTTCTACGGGATGAAATATCGAAAGATAGCTGCCGGGCGCGGCGCGGCGCGGCGCGGCGCCGCCGAAACGTGAAAAATGACAAGCGTTAAATTAATTTGACTTTCGAAAAATGACAAGCGTTAAATTAATTTGACTTTCGAATTTGAATTACAGATTCGAAGCAGACGCGAAGGTGTCGTTGTACACGGCGCTTCGCACTCCACCCAGTAGGAATTCTCCTCGAAGAACCCAATATCAAGAACCACCTCCATCATCATCATGACGATCATCATCATTATTATCATCATCGGCATCATCAGCGCGATAACCATATTCCCGACGCTGCCTTCGTCGGAAAACCAAAATCAAAAGCTCTGACCCACTATGTAACACAAGCGGCCATCAATATTTATAAAACCCGTCATCTATCAGTGGATGAATTCTTTCTAGAAATATTTTACTGCGTTGGCTGCTATGAATGCATAGATTTCACCGCGTATCGAGTGTTTATTCAATATCGCCAAGTGTCATTTATCTTGCGCATTTCGAAGTAGACTGATCAATTCGGTCACTAGGGAATATACTATTAAATGCTGTTCCCCTTATTATATAATTTCCGTCATATAATTTCGCGCATATTTAATTTGTCTCGATTATTCCAGAGCTTAAATTACAATTTAAAAAATTGATCTAATAGTGAATCTTGTTGGATGCACTAATAGTGCATATTAAAACCGTTATAAAGTGATTTAATATATATATTTTACAGCACAATGAAGCGTATTGAAGATTTCGCGTTTAACTTTTTTCTATATTTATATTAAACATACACCTTTGCATTAATTTGTGTACGACGACTTTAATGTGCATGCAGTATTTATTTAACGCGTCCAATCGAATTTGTCATAAGACATACATCTTCTAATATGTATAACTGCATAACATTACGTAAATATATGTACGCGGAGAGAATTTTTTCTTAGAATTTACCCTAAAAATATGACAGTCGTGGGACAACATTGTATTTCGAAGAATTTTAATGTAAATCTATCTCATTCACTAATAAAACTACAATAAAATAAGTTTGATCAATTTTACCAAAGTGCATGGTAAAAATATTTAAAATATTATATTGTACCATAACTACCATATTTTCAGGGTAAATTTTAAAAGAAAATTCTCTCCGTGTATATAAAATTGTCTTCAACAATTCAATTATATTATCACATAAATTACCAAATATTCAATTCATTTATATTAGTAAGCAATATTGCTAATTTATAAATATATTTTTATACGTCAATTTTTTTTCTAAATTTTTTAAATATATTTATTAGCAAGCAATAATGCTAATTTATAAATGCACGTTAAATTTATTTTCCCATAATTTTTTGAATAATTTTAATTTAAACAGCACTATACGTTCGGTACAGTTATCGCCGAGTATTGCGAATCATATATGAATTCCAACCAAGGTGTTAATGGAATACGCTTTTACAATCTCCTCAAATCTAAGCGAGATCTCCGCTAATTAACTGTAAGACCTATAGAGATGACTATCGATAACTCGAATGTTTTGTGTAAACCGTAAAAATCGCGCGGAGAAATTCGACCGAAATAAGGAGACACGCCCGTGAAACCGCGAAACGACATTTATGGCAGTGCGATTGTCGGTCGTAAGTGGCGTTCATTTGAATATCGCACGGTGTGTGGTCTTTCGCACGCGCCCACCGTACTACGTGCTCGCGCCCATTTGCGTGCGTGCGTGTAACTTTACTAAGAGAGATCACATGATCGGTCTATGTCATGCCTGTTGCGTAATCACATGTTATCTAAAAGCTCGATCGTCGCCCGGAAGAAGCGCACTGCTATTTAAATCTAATGAATATCAAGTTACAATTTCGTCGTTTGACAAGACGGTGATAAATAAATACATCGTGGAGCACTGATTTCCAGACACGCAGACATGCGTTGATTATCTACGCGGCATGTTAGGCTATCGAAGTCTGTTAAGTGAATAATTTTTTAGTTCAACAGATTTCGATTGACTAACGTAGAGAGACAGTCAAAATATAAGACAGAAATATAAAAGATAATTATGTTTTTTTTGATTCTTAGAATAAAAAAAGTGAAGCATAAGTTGGACCAAGATTAAGTTAATCTATATTAATACAAAAAGGAATGAGATGGATATTCGTCTGGTAAACAATGACTGCGTTCAGCAGAGAAAGCAGCTTTGCAACTGTTGTAAAATTCTTCAATATGATTGGTCTTGCTCTTAGTTCCTCATTGGATCTAAATGTATAAACCAATAATATTCAAGAATTTTACAACAGTTGCAAAGCTGCTTTCTCTGCTGAACGCAGCCATTGCTGACAACTGTTGTAAAATTCTTCAATATGATTGGTCTTGCTCTTAGTTCCTCATTGGATCTAAATGTATAAACCAATAATATTCAAGAATTTTACAACAGTTGTAAAGTTGCTTTCTCTGCTGAACGCAGCCAATGTTAAATGGCATTGTAGCTTGAACAATTCATAAGTCACTCGCGTCGACATGAATAAGTCTTATTTAACTTGTGCATATATTTTTGTAAAATTCTTGAAATTTTTTTACCCGAGACTTTGTTTTTATTTAATTTTTTTTATTTTTCTGTATAATTATATAATACATTAAAAAACTTATTTCGTTTTAATACGCTTCAATAATATGCAATCAAAATGCACAATTATAATCAAGTTTCCTTTTACAAAGAAATAATGCATACAAATTATTCTGTGCCGTGAAGGATAATGAAAAAAGCAGTCGATAGTTCTTGATCGATTAATGCTATAATGTAAGGCTATAATTTTGACGTAAATTTTTAAATTTGTAAAACCTTTTTGGCACAAATTTTCAAAATTTCAAACAGGTATTTATTCAGTAAAATCCACGACCATGTGTACTTGTTCTCCAAATAGTAATAATAGAGAAGAATATCACACTGCACTTTCCGAGTTTGAGATGTATGTAACCTATGCATAATTTATTAACCTATATATAATTCAATTGCAATGTTGTATAGTAAAATATAACTCTAGTATGTTTCAACACATTTTTATCAATATATAATAATTTTTAAATCAATAAACATATTGTTAGATGAGAGATATCATCATTAATTTATATGAAAAAAATATTTTCAACATTTCGTTGTGATAAAAACATAATACAGCAATTATAGAATAACATTTCCTTCTTAATCTTACATTGACTTTTATAAACAGCGTTTTAACTAAGAATAAAAAATCATATCAATTTAATTGAAAAATACTAAAAATTATATGAACTAAATTAAGTCCAGAAGATCGACATACGTCGACACAGTATTATGAAGAAGAGTTTGCCCCACCATATTACTCAACTCCAATCTCGCCTCAAATCTCGGCTCCAATCTCGCCTCAAATCTCGGCTCCAATCTCGGCTCCAATCTCGACTCCAAGAAGAATACCAAGTTATCAACGTATGCCTCGACCCCATGTAAGAAGTGCCTTACGTAGAGGTTTCATGACTGGAGTAGCTATTGTACCACGACGAATTGATTGTAAATAGAAAATTCATGTCTAATCATAATAGTAATCCATTGTATCACATAGATACGTAACTATCTATAAGGTATAATATATAACAGTTATTTTTGTTTTCTTAATTACAAAATTGCTCCTAAATAAAAACTTTTTAATTCTCGTTGAACTAATTAATATAAGACTACACTGAGAAAAATTTCCGGGCTTTATCCGTTCAAAAAGTAACAAATAGATATTTCCGAATGATTTTGATCGGATTTTTATAAGACTATTCGATCAAATTTATCGGACAGTCCTATAAATTCGATAAATTTGATCGGATAGTCCTAAAATTTGATCGGATAGTCTCATAAATCCGATCAAAATCAATCGGAAATATCTGTTTGTTACTTTTTGAACGAACATTTTTCTCAGTGTATATATTATATACTAACAATATAAAACAATAATCTAATAGATATTTCTCTCTCTCTCTCTCTCTCTCTCTCTCTCTCTCTCTCTCTCAATTAATTTGTTTTTCAGTTGATGCTGTATCACATGTCGAAGAAATTGACGATGAAGGTATAATGGACGATAAATTGTGTCATGATCAACAAGAGTTACATTTAAATATTTAATAATAAATAATTAGTACAGTAATAAAAAAAAAATAGATAAATCATTATATATATACTTTTCTAGAGACAGCGAGAGAAAGATTACAACGGTTACAAACCCCGGTTACACGTCCGCCTATCATTCCCGAAACTGGTGCTCCTGCAACGTATAGATTGAGACGCACAAGGGCGACACAATATCCATTTATTCCAGAGAGAACGCAATATGTGCCTAGAATGGTTCGGATTACACCTTGCGGGAAATGTTTGAGAGTAAATAATTTAAGACATCATCCTCCTTATGATAAACAGATTTGTGCATAAATTATAATACATTTATTTAATGAGAAACTAATGCGAATCTTCAAATTTAAATTAAAATCTAATATCCCGAGAATATTTCTGACCAAATTTCTTAAAGTAAAGTATGTGGTCATCGCGATCAAAGCTGACCTAGAGCTAGCCTTTCTACTATTCCAAGCGTAGTTTTGGCTGCCCTTTCTTCCGCCCATAAATTCGTTTTCTCTGATTTTTATCCATGTTTGCGTTTTCCGTTTGTTTTTTTTCCTTGCCCTACATTTAGATGAGAAAATAAAACATTTTAAATTTACCGTGATGAATAAATTAAATCTATCTACATAAATTATTAAAATATTATTGACGTAAAATTATATATTAATTCTATTCTTTGACAGATATAAAAGCGTATCGAAGTAACCATGAAAAGCAATCAACCTATTTACACAAGTATGTACATTCATGCTTCTTTGCATTTTTATACTATAGATAGCAATATCTTTGATTTATTCGTAAATATTATCAGCGAACAAATTTTATCAAATGATGCAACATGTGCATGATATGAAAAATAGAAGAAATCCTCAGCAAATTAGTCGTCGCAACAGTTTTAATTATAACAAGAATTCATATTCCTTTGCTTCGAAATTCACGACCGCAGATTATATTTTCACGCAAGTACTACACATGGACCAGCGAAGTTGGCCCATCGGCTGGACGTAAAATCGTTCATGTTTGAGAATGTTTAATGCATGGACTGCGCGGTCGTAGGTAGGTGAACGGTTAACCGATGTTTGTATGGCTGTACTCCCAGCACAGATCCCGGAACACCGAAGATATCGTAGAAGTACTGCGCAAACACTCCGACTGACTGTTTCTCAATCAGAGTCGCGTATACGGAAGGCACACGGTTATAGCAGCACTCGGTAGACGCCTGTTTTCACGGTCATTCCATTCCCAAAGTGCGTAATTTGTCATTATATAAAATACGTAGCTTTGACTAATATACACTCAATTTTAAAGATGCGACTATATCATTCCTGAATAAACAATTCATTCAGCTAATAATTGCATGAATTTATCAATAAAATTTGCACTAATCAAAAAGAGAACATCTCGATGACAAATTACTACAATTGAAAATCTATTAACATGCAACGTATATATATAATATTAATATTTAGAATATAAAAAATCTGAAAATTCAAAGTAAATAACAATACATTTTTGTACGAATCAATTTAAAAAAATATATTTTTTAAATAAAACCTTATCACATAGAATTAATTATTACACACTGAGAAAAAAATATAGTCAATTTTAATAAATGTTTAGTTCAATATACTGTCAACTAAACATTTACTTACAGTAAATAAATGTTTGTTCAGTAAAAAAAAATGATTGTTAAATCAAATTAACATTTCTTGTATCAAATAAATATATCTTTATATTTAATAAATATTTAGTTGACAGTATTCAACTAAATATTTATTAAAATTGATCATATTTTTTTTCAGTGCAGATAATAAGATTTCGTCATTTTTAAACTTTCAAAGACCGATAGACGCTCATAAATGTTGAATACTGAATTCAGAGACTAGGTTTTCATTGAGAAGAAGATTAATATTGACCCAGGGTTATATTCTTATACATGCATTGTCGTTTCTGACCAAGGATGTCCGACCAATTCTCGGAAGAACGCGTTGTCTCGGTATTTCGCGCGGAATCGCCTTTGAGCATCGTTGCGTGGTATCGCACGGAGAATGGACGACGAGACGGCGCGTGCACGGACGAAATGGGCACGCGAAGACGCGGAGGACGCGAGTGGTGGCGAATTTACGTAATGAAGCGATCGCCCGGGTGGTCCCGAGCGTGAGACGCGCGTACGCACGTTCCTTCGTCGTTCCCGATGCGAGACGCTTGCCAAGATGGAGAGAACAAAGAGAGACGAGAGAGTAAGAATCTCTCTTTTTCTCCTCGAGAACGACTTGTAGCTCCGGCGTCGTTCAGCTTTCGAATTAACGGCACCGGAAATACGAAGCAACATGCACGCGCTCGGACGCATTTATGCGCGTGGAAGAGAAACGCGAACGCGTTTACCACCCACAATTATTTGCCAAAACGTGCCTCTCCCGTGATTTCCACGCGGTACGCACCGACGGGGCATCGGGATCCCGAGACGCCACACGTCAGAATATTTGAGATGGGTTCGCCCCGAGCGCTAAGGGAACCAATCGCTAATCTTTCAGAGAAACGTCGTCGAAGTTTACGTTCGCGCGATCATCAAAAGATTATCCCTCCCTTCTGGTAAAATATAGATTTCTTGTTGAACTTGCGGAACAAATTTAAGACTTTTTAATTATATTCACCTTGTTAAAATTTAGGCGAAGAATACATACCAATAACTTTCTAAAATCTTTAAAGTGGAATCCAACTCTACAGAATGAAATCTCACTCTTAAATAATGAATTAGATAATGAATTAGTTCACTCTAAAGATTTTAGAGAGAATATATTTTAATAATAATAGCTGTAATTCGTCAATCAAAGAAATGTGATCTAATAATGTTAATTATTTCAATTTTATTAACGTTAATTATGTTTCAAATTGAATTTGATTATATTTTAGTAAATTCTGATAGAAAATCAATCCGCGATACAAAGAAAAAACGAGCGAAATTATTGATCAACATACTTGACAAAACAAAAATAGGAGGCATAGAAAAGGAAGCTAAAATTACGATAGTAATAGGACGTACATTTATATTATATAATCAGATACATATGTATGTGGAGAGGAATTGATGAATGTAGCTAGATGATTTTGACCATGCACAGTAATTAGTATAAAAAAGTTCAAGCCATTACTGCAGTCCTAAAATCAAGCTCACATTGCGAACGTTTGTGTTTCAATTAACATCATGTTTCACGTGAAATTGCTTAATCCGCTGTATATGAGACTAATGAACTTCTGTTAACGTGATTATCGTTGGTAACTGAAAACGTTTATGCAATAAACGCTACTGAATACATGTCTTGCATGTTGCGGGAACTAATTGCTATATTCTCGAAAATAATGACTTTATCACTCTATTTGTACGTCTATTAATTAACAAATCTCATTATTTAATTCCAAATTAAAAATTTATCTATTACTTCATTACATCTTTTTATTAACTTTTCAATTAAAGAGAATCAATTATCGAATAAACGCGGGTACTTGTTGCCATGAACCCTGTTAACCAGCCATTCAAAGAGTGCAATTAGCCGCGTGATATTTAAGACTCCGTCGCGAGTGAGAGTAATCTCGTCCGTTCTTTCTCCGCGCGATTTCTCCTTTAATCACCGATCGTCAATCCTGAATACACAGCGCTGCGAAATAAGGAAACGTCGTTTACCTTCCAAATACCATTTTCGAGCGTAGGCGCCCGTTGTAAGGCTATTTTTGGCACATTCGCGGCGCTTCGTAGACGCATTTGCAAAGATATCCTTGAAGCAAAGGATCAACATTTTCCATCTTCCAGACGCGTGACGACCGCAAAGAGACGCGCGAAAGAGAAGAAATTCTGGCCAATGTAAGTTAACGTTACTGTCTGATAAATTCGGTTGATACACGGAGAGAATTTTCTTTTAAAATTTACCCTGAAAATATGACAGTCGTGGGACAACATTGTATTTCGAAGATTTTTACCATGCACTTCAGTAAAA